CACCTTCACAAACTTCCTCTCTGAGATAACAAGTTCTTTCTTTCTTTCTTTCTTTCTTTCTTTCTTTCTTTCTTTCTTTCTTTCTTTCTTTCTTTCTTTCTTTCTTTCTTTCTTTCTTTCTTTCTTTCTTTCTTTCTTTCTTCTCCACTCATCCATCTATCTCTTTATGTGGCTATCTATCTATCTATCTATCTATCTATCTATCTATCTATCTATCTATCTATCTATCTATCTATCTATCTATCTATCTATCTATCTATCCATCTATCCATCTATCCATCTATCCATCTATCCATCTATCTATCTATCTATCTATCTATCTATCTATGTCTATCTATTTGTCTTTCTGTCCGTCTGTCTGTCTGTCTGCCTGCCTGTCGGTCGGTCTATCTGTCTAACCTTTTCTTTTCTCCTCTGTGTTTTCTCTCGTTCTGCTCCATATCTCATATGTGAACGTTTATGTTTTTCTTCTTTGCCAGACTGCCTGTCATAACACACTTCACGTACGCTCTAGTAAGTCATTTGGAAAAGCCGGCATCTGCCAAGAAAATGTGCGCATAACTTATGGATCTTTTGTCTGTGGCCGGTCCCGCTCGTCTTGCACACTCTCTTTCCATAACTCACAATGTAATCCTCAGATTTCCCCCTCGCCTCCTGGATTTTCACTCTCCTTTGAGTAGCTGTGTCATCACTCATATCTTCATGTAGTGCTCCAGTTTAGCGCGTCTGTGTCACAATCACAAGTGCCATTTGTTTGGGGGAATTCTGAGTGTAAATCAGTGTAATTACAGTGTCCTAGTTCCTCCTGTCCTTGTAAAGGTGCTGAATGCGCCAGTCCCTTATTTTCTGGCTCAATTTTCCCCCACCTCAACATGTTTGCCTTCCCAGATGCCTTGTGGCTCTGGAAACAAACAGAAGAAGGAAAAAGACCCCAAGTTTTACAGTCCAGGAATGCAGGGAAAGCTGCACAATGACAAACAGAGCCTGTCATAAAGCTGGTTTACAGTCTCACCGGACTCATATTTGTTTATTTGTAACTATTTATTGTAACGGTTCAATTTGAAGTGTCCTTTTATTTTGTTTGTTTTGCCTGGTGGCCTTCTTTTGTTGGCTGCAGTGTTCATAGTTTCTCTCTGGAGATTGTAACTGTTAGTTCATGCATTTCAGTCTAGTGGAATTTGTTTGTCTGTGCTGGTTTGTTGGTTTTGGTCCCAAGGCTTGCTTATTAAGGATTAATGAGGCCAGGCACTGATAAACTGACTGATTTAGTATAGATAGATAATGCTGTTTAACTCTGCCAGCCCAACAGCCAGGAACCAGACCACTCCTGAGACCATTTGCGTCACATCTATTTTGGTTTTTGGCCTCTGTCGGACACAAACGAGGTTGTAACATATGATTAACTTTCTAATTGAATGCAGAATGCATTTTCCTGATTATGGCAAGAATGTGTCTTCATAACAGCAGCATTATGATGATTACAGTGTTAGAAAACCACTTCAAGCTGGAAGCCTCACTCGCCCAGGGTTGTTGGTTTAGTATAAATGATAGCTAATTATTAAGCTGCACTATAGATCTTTTTAAAGGGACATTTTGGGTTCAGCACAAGTTAAGCTCACACATTTTTGTGGCTTAAGGCAGATTCACTACAAAGTGTCCAAAGAGTTCAGACTCATCTCATGTTTTCTTTTTAAAAAGAAATTATGATGAGGCCTTTACCATAAATGAAGTCACCTTTTAGAACAGGGGTCTCAAACTCAATTTACCTGGGGGCCGCAGGAGGCAAAGTCTGGGTGAGGCTGGGCCGCATAAGGGATTTCACAAAAAAAAGTCCTCAAATGTCATTATTAACAGTTTTAATTATTTCTTCTGAACATGAAGTGTCCTGAACATTAAAAGAACATTGAGTGAAGATTATGAACAGTTCTTCTGAACATGGCATCTTTTGCCTACTTCTTACTGCCAGAGACTTGACAGCGCTTCTTCTCACAAATCTGAACCACATTTGGCTTTAGGGCGGAAGCAGTTGAGACCCTCAGTATGGCTTGAAGATGACCATCATTAAGTCTAGACCTGTACTTTGACTTATTGAAGTCCTAGGGAAAAAAGTGGGGGAACTCACTCAAAACTTCCATTCCCTCACCTAAAAAAAAGGCGTATATATGTATAAATAAAACATCCCCACCCCACTCCAGTCTGTACCAGTCCGTATCTACCTATAATATATATAAGATGCAGGGCAGGCACGTGCACACATAGGGCTCAACCTGTGCAGAGCACATGCCCTCTTTAGTTTTGCATAGAAACTGCCCCCGCGACGCGACACACCCTCGGTCCCGCCCTTCAGTAGGCGCGCGATAACACCGCTCTTGAGTACACGTGCGACAACACAGCTGATCAGAACGCGCGCGACAACGCCCCTCCACACTTCCCGCCCGTCACAGCGTCTAACAAAAGGGCGGGGTGCGTGGTGACGTCACCGGCATCCTCGCCCCTTTGTTTACACGGCGGGCGGGGAATGCCAGTGACCGCTGTGTACGGATATAATCAGGGGAGCGGGGAGCGCTCTCTCTCCCCGCTCGCTGATTCTGTCAGTGTACAGCGGTCGGCGCGGGCCACAAAATATTGCACTGAGGGCCGCAAATGGCCCGCGGGCCGCGAGTTTGAGACCCCTGTTTTAGAAGATGTATGATTAGAAATAGGAAGTATATCATTCTAGGAACTTAATTCAATTGAAGTTTATTTGTATAGCACTTTTTACAATAATTATTGTTATAAATCAACTTTACAAAAGGTGCACATTATACTGTACAGGAGCATTACACTCATTTTCTTTTAGCTTTGAACCCACCGCAACACAGGGAGAACATACAACCTCCACACAGAAATGCCAAGTGGCCAAGCCTCGAACCAGCAACCTTCTAGCTTTGAGGCGACAGCACTAACCACTGATCAATCGTACCACCCCCATTACAATAAAATTAAGTTAAAGTTTCAATAATAAGCTATTATATACAGATGTAAGTTTTTATATACAGAAAGACACTTTATTTCTGAAATGTTATTATTAATTTTTTTAAAATCTTAGTACAGTGATTTGTGAAAGAAATATCAGGTCATTTTGGAAAATGATCTAAAACATACGTATTTATTTGAGTAGTACAAGACTATGAGCTCTATTTTAATAACCTAAGCTCAAAGTCTAAAGCGCATGGTGCAAAAGCATTAAGGGTATGTTTGAATTCACTTTTGCTATTTTAAGGATGGAAAAATATGATTTGCGCCCCGGCACATGGTCTGACAGGGTTGTGCTTATTCTCTTATTGAGTTATGGGTGTGTTTTAAGTATAATGTGCATTAAACCAATCAGAGTCTCATCTCTCATTCTCTTGGGTCAGTTGCATCACACTATGGCACATTTGCTATTTACATGGCAGACTTTGTTGGTAAAAAACTTGAATGCTTCACTGATAAGAAAACAGTTTAACAGACCATCATGAGGACAAAGAACGAGACTCCTCCATTCGGCCTCTTTATTTTCTTCTTTTCTTTACTCTTTAGTAAAGGAGTAAAGAGTCTTTACTTTACTCCTTTACTTTAATAAAGTAAGGAAACAGTGTTGTATACAGTCTGCTGAAGACATCCATTAGCCTACATATTTAATTTAGTTTGTTTAGCACAAAGATTTGTTTCAAAACTATTTCAAAATTCAGTTGTAATTTCCTGCAAATTAATAAATGAGCAATAATAACGAAGTGTGGTCAAGAAACTGATTTGTGTCCAAACACATGTCTTTTTCTTATGCCCCATATAATATACAATATACAAAACCTGTATCAAAATTAAGATTTACAAAATTATCAAAATGGGCTAATAAAAGACAATGTTTAATGTAATGCATCTTTGCTTGAATATATATATATATATATATATATATATATATATATATATATATATATATATATATATATATATATATATATATATATATATATATATATATTTTTTTTTTTTTTTTTTTTTTTTTTTTTTCAAAATAAAAAAATAAATGTCTTATGTCTGGTGAAGGTCATGGGACAGAAACGTCATATATACTAAAATATTCCTAGAGCAAGTACTGATAGTGTGCAAGATAGTGTGTTTTGTTCCCTTTTGCACATTTTCACATGGTGATTTTTTTATTTATTTGTTTTGTTCTGTGCACCTATTATTGCTTCAAGTGTGTTGAGTTTAATTGATTAACAAAAAAAGGTAACACATATTCCCATATCCTCATTTTTTTGCCTCATTTGTTATTTTGTCTTTTGGCTTTTAAAACAACGACTTTTTGATTTTTTTTTTTGTTTGTTTTTATCCCAGTTCACTTCCAATTTAAGTGTCTCCTTGTGACCCAGATCTCACTTAAACTTTAACCCAGTGAAACCACCCTATACCACTCCAAACTTCAGACAATCCGGAGACCCCCTGCTTCTGCGCTCCTCAGCAGGAGGCTAGAACCAGCCAGTATTTTACATGGCATGATGATGAGATGCTTTTCTCATGAGAGCAGATTATGACTTTTTTCAGGGTCAGAGGTGAAAGAGCAGAGAGAGAAAAGATAAATATTTTTAAAGAGGCTCCTTTTAACCACCGTATTAGGCTGCATGCTTTTCTTTCCTGTCCCGCTTTGTATGTTTACACTGAAGATCATTGAGAGGCTCAAGTGTGGCGTTCACAGTAATTACGTTACAGCGATTTTTAGTGTCAAGAGATCATTTGGGGGTGAGAGTCACGTCCTGCTGCGAAGGTCTCGTTTAAAGCCTCTATTTAGTCGATGAATTATGAATCAGCTCAGTGTTTACTATGGAAAAAGTGATGGAGTCGAGGTGTTTCACTAACTTCACAGGCCTCACAAGGGGTTTCTGAATCACTAACAAAGCAAAATAAATGCAAGTGTGAAAATGCTGGTAATGATTTCAGTGAGGTCATTGATGCTCAATCTCTCTGTTTCTCTCTCTCAGGACTATCTTGGCTGCATTATTGACTGTGGCGACTTGCCGCTCAAACCCGAAGAGGTCAGCACCCTCTTCTGCAACATCGAGGACATCTATGAGTTTAACAGGTTTGTGTGTTCTTTTAGTTGTGTCAGGAAAGTTAGTACAGTACATTCAAATGTAAGGATACCTTTTTTGTGGTACTAGTTCTCCTGAGTATCATGTTAATGCACTTATTGCTGTCAGAAGTTTTGCTTCAGTCAATTACAAACATGTTTATTGAGTTTGAGAACAGAGTGGCACTTAAATTTAGTTAGCACTGAAATATTATTATGATAATGTGATTAATGCCTGGCAAATTTTGTAAGGGTGCTGAATTTTTTGCATTCATTTTTGCCATAGAATTTTTGAAAAAGTCTTTGTCAACATGAACCAAACTAAGCAGCTATGAGGTGAATCACAACTTTTATTTGAAACAAGGTAGTGTATCATGGTACTCAACAGCTTCAGTGAGGAAAATAATTACAATCAAAAACAGTGGAGAAATACACTATTTTATTTAATGTTGTTGATTGTATTTGTACAATTTATTTTAAGTTTTTTGCAAAATATGCACTCACAACCACATAGACATATGCACATGTATACATAAACTTGCCAGCCACTTTATTAGGTACACCTTACTAGTAACGGGTTGGACCCCCTTTTGCCTTCAGAACTGCCTTAATCCTTCATGGCGTAGATTCAACAAAGTACTGAAAATATTCCTCAACATTTAAAGGCTTTACTAGGTTAATTAGGTTGACTAAGTTAGGGTATTTAGGCAAGTCATTGTGTTCACCTTATTCTTTGCCGACGAGTGGGCGCAGCCATTTGAATCTTTTTAGCTCGAGACTTCCGGTCTCATTCACTTCAATTCAATTCATGGGAGTGGAGCGGGGGCACTTCAGATCATTTCGGAAGGGCACTTTCTATCCAAGACTAAAAAGGCCATGTGCACTGTTGAGCCCTATGTGTGCACGTGCCTGATGGGGCTAATAATATTGGCCTTAAAATTGTGTTTGAAAAATTAAAAACTGCTTTTATTTTAGCCGAAATAAAATGAAAAAGTATTATCAGACATACTCTGAACATTTCCTTGCTCTGTTAAACATCATTTTAATATTTAAAAAGAAAAAAAATCAAAGGGGGGCTAATAATTCTGACTTCAACTTTACATTTTATTTACTAGATAATTAGATAAATAATACTAAAAATAAAGACTACAATACCATAAAATAGTCAGGATAGTAAGGCTGTGTTATCTAAATTGGTTAGAAGTAATTTTTTTCATATTGTTGCTGACTACTGAAAGTTTGGTACAGTGACAACACCACTTAATTTGATAGCGTTGGTGGTCAAGATGTCTGTCTAGGTGGCAGTGGTGTCTGCTGAATTAGTCTCAAACACAATGACTGGTCTGCGTCCTCGCCTGTCCCACTGTGAAGGACAATGTGCAGATGTCTGCCAGAAGCGACTGTACAGCACTTCTACACTCCAGCAGACTGTCCCTGAGCTGCTGTAGTCGATCTGGAATGCTCTTCATGAGACGCTTTCTCAGCCGTCGTCATAATTTAAGCTCCTCTTAAAAGACACGCAGCATATGGTTTATTACACTATGAGTTCACGCATGGTCCACCGAACAATTTACTCGGTCTTGTTATGTGTCTGCTTCACACTGTTTATTGCAAATGACACCCTGTGTTTATTTCAGAGTCATACGCATGGTTTAGCCCAGAGTTTTTTCAGTCGGTTGGTTTGCTGCTAGTTGCCACTCAAACACCCCTGCTGTTTTACATACCGTAATTGTCTTTGTCGGTCCGGTCCAATCCACTTCATCCCCTCTAATGACATTAGGCAGTGTTGAAATTGAACATGGCGCCTTACTGCCAGTTCTTGTGGGAAATTAGCTAGGCTGTGTTGAAAGTCTTCGAAACTCTTGGGTGTCCTCGTGACCTCTTTTAATAAAGCTTCCTTTAATAAAAATCACAGAGCTTTTGTTCTCATCACAGCTGCTTTTGGCCTCTGTTTGAGATCATTTTGGCATGTAATGAGCAGAATAAGTTATTAGTTTATAAGAAATCCGCTCGTAAAGGAACAGTTCACCCAGAAAAAAAAGTTCTGTCTTCATGGTAGGCCAGTGTTTGAAATATTAAATTCAAAATAGGGCTGCATGATGTCGAAATTATCTGACATTTTGATATTTAGTTTTTCTGTGATATGAGTACAGTTCCAACAGATCATACGTTTAGATTGATAGGGGTGAGTTTGTAAGGGTGTAAATCATGTGTAAAAATATAAGAAAGAAAATTACTAGCCAGAATAATTCCAATAGAGCAATGAAAAAGTTAAATAAACAGTGCTTTGCGGTTTTCTGTAGAGTCAAACAGTATTCTGGGACAGAAATTGTGTAATGTAAAACAACACAGTATAGTCTTAGTTGGATTAATTCAGTAAAATTATTCTTCAATAAAATGTGACTAAATGCTTTAAACTCTTCTAAAATGCCTTTAAAACACATGTAAAAGAAAAAAGTTTCAATCTGTTGTGGCGATATTTTATTCTAGACTCCACAAATCTCATGTATTCTCAACTGTTGTGCTGATCAGCTATAATCCCAACTCAACATTGCATATTACTATATCGATGCTGAAACAATATTGTGAATTCAAAATGTAATATGCTGTCTCTATTTGATTAAAAATACAGTAGGAACATTTATATTGGGAAGTACTGTATTACAGTTATTTGTATTACAATTACAATTGTAATACATATATTATTATATATGTATTACAATTATTTGGATGCATTTTAATGTTCAGTGTCATCAATACAGTATTAACACCCAATTCAAACAGGGCGTCTACGATAACACTTCTCATTTACTTTGAGTAGAGTGACATCAAACATTTCTGACTGAATTTTGAGTCCGTGCAGGTATCAGCAATCAGCAATTATGCAAATATACTAGCGCAGATGCTGGCCAATCGTGTAACACCAGAGAACAGAATTTGTTAAATTGAAGAAAAGCACTTAATATAGTGGTTGGTAGTCACCCAGTGGTTTATGATCAATCTTTGTATTCATATCGGGACTGGTATTGGAGGAACCAAACCTGACAGGATGTGCAAAAGTGGTCTGTGGATTTAGTGTGCATGGTGGTGTGGAATTGTCAATTGTTTTACTGCAGTACACAACAAAAGTCTTGTTGTCATTACAAATATTGCAGAAGACCTATTGGAACCCGCATGGACCCAAGATTCTCACAGAAATCAGTCAAGTTTGGTGAAGAAAAAATCACTGTTTGGGGTTACATTTAGTATGGGGGCATGCAAGAGATCTGCAAAGAGGATGGCAACATCAAAAGTCTGAGGTATCAAGACATTTTTGCTGCCCATTACATTACAAACCACAGGAGAGGGCAAATTCTGCAGCAGGACAGTGCTCCTCTCATACTTCAGCCTTCACATCAAAGTTCCTGCAAGCAAAGAAGTTCAAAGTGCTCCAGGATTGGCCAGCCCAGTCACCAGACATGAACAATATTGAGCATATCTGGGGTAAGATGGAGGAGGCATTAAAGATTAATACAAAGAATCTTGATGAAGTCTGGGAGTCCTGCAAGAACGCTTTCTTTGCCATTCCAGATGACTTTATTAATAAGTTATTTCAGTCGTTGCAGAGATGTATGGATGCAGTCCTCCAAGCTTATGGGAGTCATACACAATATTAATTATTTTTCCACTGCACCATGGCTTTATAGTCTATGCTGTACATTATTTCTGTTAAGTGACAAGACTTTTGTCAAAGCAAAGTCAGACCTTACTGTCCTAATTAAATAATTAAAAATCAAGGCATGATCATATTTTATTTTGGTATAATAAGCGTAATCTAGAGGCCTTTGCCCTTATATAAGCCACTTCTGATACCAAATGATCAACTAGAAGTCACGTTATTATTTGTTGTTCCTAAAACTTGGATAGGCGAAAAGACTTTTGTCAGTTAGTGCATGACATATACTATGACAGCTAACATTGCATTAGTGAAAAGCTAAACATAAACTTTCAGAAATCATTCTGATAAGATAATTTACTGCATCTCATACTTTCTTATTAGTATCAGTGTTGAAAACAGTTCTGTGAAAACCCTTAGGATCATACTTTGTTGAATTAAAAAAGTTCAATAGTTAAAAAGTACAACTTTTTGTTGTTATATTTTGTCTTTTTTTAAATCAATTTACTGCATCTTTGATATAAAAGTAAACTTTCTTTGTACTATTATTCAATAATACTGCATGTATATTATTATTTCATCCACTAAATGTCCATGATTAATAGGTTGAAATATAAGTCACTTTCTAATGAAGTAATGTATTTAACTCGAGTGAATAATGACTGAAATATGCTCCGCTCATCCCACAAATCTGTGTGTTTATGGAAAACAGTGAGTTGGAAATTATTCAATACATCTCTGATCGCTTTTCAGAGAAAGAATAACAGCATGCGGGTTTGGAACATCAACAAGAGTGCGTCGATTTTCACTTCTGAGCAAACTGTCCCTTGAAAGGAGCTCTCGTGCTTACCTCTGCAGTTGTTAAGACTTTCTAAAATAAATGACTGACCTTGTTTTCCTCCCCTGCCTTACAGTTTAAACACACAAAGACTCTCTCTTTGTCTTTTGGTCCTCTTAAAAGCCCCTCTGCTCATCGCTGTGGAATGCAGCCTCTGTATTCAGGCTGGATTCTGTTGAGTCTACTTTCTTGGCACCGCTCTGAGCTTTAGGACACATACAGATGTCATTTTTCTCTTAGCCAAAGCAGCCGGGCTCCGAGGTAAAGCTCCAGCCCCTGTGGTGAACAAGCCACACATGACCTGTCAGAAAGTGAGGGTGCAGCCAAGCAAGCAGTGCATCGTGGGACAGCAGACAGGACTTATTTTGTTCCCACAGACATCTGTCCAGTTCTAGAGAAGCATTGTAAATTGTGCCTTTTGCGCTGGAATGCTGCATTTGTCTTGCGACTGCAACAGAACGGGCTGTTTTTACTGGCTTGGGAATCTCCTCACTATTTTGCAGTGATGAAAACATTCCA